GTACGATTGACGATGCTTTGTAAATATATACATTTACACACTTTCTCTATATTTACTCTTATATGTTAGCATGCGGATGTCACGGGATCATCCATTCGTGCCTCCCAGTTTCCCATTCGGTTATTCTTATTTGCACATTAATGTCCAAGAACATTTCCGAACATATATGCACAATGGTGCACACAAACGTACAGATTCATAGAGATTATATTCTAGCGTAGAGCTGTGGCTGGTAAAGTTTCAATGTATTTAATAGCTATAATTAATAATTATGTTTAAGGTTACATCAGACAAATAACTCTTTTTAAATATGCTTCTATCCTTTTTCTTTTCTTTTTTTCTTTCATTTCCTTTTGCTTATCCTTGATTATCTTTCTTTTTACAGTATTTGTTCCGCATCTTATATTTTCCTAACTTAAATCTGTTCAGATACATTCGTTAGTTTCTGTAAACATCCAGCAAATATCGATGAATATAAATATGTACAATTTTTTCAGGCTTCGTAGATGATGCAGTTCTGAGTTTGCTTCTCCCCACCATTAACAGCCAGAATATTTTGAGAGATATGATCACTGTAATATAGTACCTGCAAAAATATCTACCTACGTTATATCCAAATGTTTCGCACTCGCTCACTCAATCTAGTATTTGAATGATCAATGAATTTTCTTTCATTTAATATGAATATATTCCAATAACACTGCTCGGATTTCTTAAAATACCTTGAAGTTTACAGAACTAGGATTTCCATAACTCGGAATCCGAAGTCTCTAATTCAGAACCATTGTCCATTACAACAAATTGTTCTAATCTTACCTGTGTTTTCAACATTTTGTAGTTATCTGGGATTTGTGTTTTGAAATTTCAAACATTATTTCTTTTATTGAATATTTGAAGACTATGTTTTACGTTTGAGGAGCACGATTTCTTGATCCATAGTAATATCTATATATTTGATAATTCAAAAGTAAATGTAAGTGACAGTATCATTATATAAACATATACTTATTTATTGGCCTCGTATTCATGTGGTTTGAAAGTTTGTTTTCTGAGTCAGAATTTCACCATTGTCGATTTGTTAGGGAGATAACTCGAACTGGGTAGGAGTCATTTGAAATGTGCCTGATAGCCATACCATGAGTTAACGGAACCGATCGGAAGCTGCCAATGTTTGTACTAGCAAGAAAACGCAATGTTCCGCTCAGTATGAAGTTGTAGTATGAGCCTAGTGATTTCAATGAGGAGCTGAGCAGTAGTGTGTAAAAGGGATTTGCTATTTGCCCTTTAAGGCGGGTGCGCTCGGAAACGAATAGTAGCCGACCATAGCATACGTATTTATATTTTATGATGAACTAATTGCGAATAATTATACGCCTTTCCCTTCGCATCTTGGTTTCACCGTTTCGACTGTTGTACGTTATGGCCTTCTTCAGATCTATGTGTTATTTGGTGGTTACATCCCCACAATTCTACATTGTGAAACAGACGAAACGTTGTGAGTGTAACAAACACGAAGGCCATACTTGTTATAAATGAATACAACAAACTATGACAATTTCTCGTTTCAAAATTCAGAATTAAGGAGGGAAGCAGAGAGTCTTGAAGATGACAAAATGTCTGGACGTCCTGCAAATCTCAACACCTAGGAAAACATTGATTACGTTCATCACATTGGGATGAATGATAAGCGATTAACTATAAGTCAAATAACTAATGCTATTAGCAAATTCCATGATATTCATAAATTTCTGTGCGAAGAACTTGGCATGACAAAGGTTTCTGCTCAGTAGGTGCAAAGGCATCTAACAACTAACCAAAAGCGTATCAGTCTGATCACATCACGGGAGGTAGATTCAGCTGGATTCATTGAACGTTTCCTAACCCAGGATGTGTTGGTCACTTTGAGCCAGAGACAAAGAGGCAATCCTACTAGAAAAATTCCAAGGTTGTTTGATCTACCGGGAAGTTGATTGCCTCATTTTCTGGGGAGGCAAAAGGCATTGCTTTAATTAACAAAAATTGTCACACCATTAATGAAAAGTACTATTCCAATTTTCCAAGATAGTTACTAAAATAGAAAATATAGGAAAACTGACGAAACGGCTGTTATTTCCACAAAAGAATGCTCCAGCACAGAAGTCCTTAATTTCACGGGCTGCTGTGCGTGCAGTGCTTTTGAACTTGTTGATTTGACCACATCTGACTACCATCTGTTCCACAGCATGAAAAACAGAAAAAAAAAAAAAACTTGAATGGGAACCAGATTCTAAGTTTTGATGACGTTATATCAGCGTTTGATGACTTTAAGACCAACAAAATGTAATTTCTTTACCAATGATGTACAAGAACTGTAACACCAAAGGTAGAAGTGTTGGACTGCAATGGTTAATATGTTAAAAAATAAATCACATTTAGTCACATATATGACAGTAAAAAATATATACACACATACAAACACACATACACAAACACACACACACACACATATATATATATATATATATATATATATATATATATATATATATATATATATATAAAAGCAAGGAATGTCTATCACCACAAGAAAAAGTGTAACCATTATATTTCTGGATAAAAACGTTCTTAAGTCAAACAGTCTTCTTAATTATAGCGCTCCATATCGATAGTCAGTTATGTGTCATGTGTGATACACGCATACGCGATCATGTATCTTTCGATACATTGACTGACGGGTCAGATCTTTGCCCGAAGTAAGTCCATATCAGTAGACAGATCATTATTATAATGATAATAAATAAAATTAAATGTTCACTTATTCTTGAATTTACTCAATCTTTCGTAGTATCGCATTTTTCGATCCCTGGAAATTCAGCACAGAGATAAGAACATGTTTAAGTTTAATCAGTATATATGTTTATATGTGTTCTTATGCATGTGTGTGTTTGTGAAGAAACTAATATCACATATGCGCTCGTTTGAGTTTTGTTGCGTATTCCTATTTTTATATGTTCGTATTGTTGTTCGGATGTGTATTTTGAGCATGAGCGTGTATTTGCGTGTGTTGAGGGTTTAAATTGCAATCTAGGTGTTATCTTTTATTTAAGTATGCACTGAGCATCTGAATGCTTTTTGTTGATCATGTGACACTTTCAAACATTGCTGACCTCTGTTTTCGCCATCACATGAATGGAAAACTCAAATCTTTCTTTCTTTAACTTCTTTAACTAATGTTACTGATTTCTTAATATGTCAGTTTTTTTTTTTTTTTTTATTCTGTTTAGCAAATTGTCGAACACCAATTTAATTTTTGCTGTTATCATTAGTTCAGCTGGTAAAATCCTTGATATATTGTTAGATATCAATCTATAAATTCTTAAAAATTATTTCAACAAAGCGTTCGTCCGGACTATATGATCTCTTTTGGTGCGGTTGCGTTGTTATATGTCCAAAGCATTTGCAAAAACATTTTTTTTGTTTTTGTTTTTTGAAATTTACTTTTTTTTTTTAGTAAATTGCCTGCCATTATCTGACAATATATTATCTGGAATACCAAATCTCGAAAATAGTTTATCAAAAGATTTTACAATTATAGTGGAAATAAGTCTTCTACGCTTAAATATTTCAGGCTATATTGCAAAATTGCTGAGGACAATCAAGTAATACACGCCATCCAAAGATCCCGCGCAATCAATAGGCAACTTAAACCAACGTTTGTTAGTATTAGGCCAGAATAGATAATCCACAGTTGATAATTAACTAGGGCACAGCCACTGCACGGCTTAGCTAAATTTTGAATATTCTAGTCCATTTTAGGCCAATATACGTATCATCTCATAAGGGATTTCATTCGTTACATCCCAAAACGTCCAACAGGAAACTAATACTACTTTAAAATACTTTTTTGCAAGATTACAGTAATTACGATTCTTTCCGCGTACATCAGTACTTGGTTACAGTTGAAAAAGTCTTATTTTTATGGACACCTCGTTTATGTTTTCATCTTTCCATCTCACTTTTACGCCATTCATTCTTATCCAAATGTAATCATCCTTCTAGGAATGTATTTTATTTTAGTCCTAAAATCACGAGTTACACAAAAAACTTTTTTATTATTTTTCTGAAATTAGAGAAGCCATCCTCCTATCTTAAAACGGTTCTTTAAAATTGAACGTTAACCTGGACAACCCATTCACATGTCACAATTTCTTTAATGGTAAATACTCCATCTTGAAATCATAATTAAGTAAATTTCATGCATCCTGTTGATAATATGTTTTTGGAATCGCCTTTTTTAAATGATATACGGTGATCTATTTCAGAAGAAATTTCCTGTGCTGTATCATGTTGTGAAAAGTTTCACTACAAAAATAATGGCTAGCTCTTCGATTTCGATTTGACTATATTTTTTCATTCACTATTAGCGTTCTAGGTGCAACAAGCAACTCCTTTTGTTTTATCATCTTGAACTTCTGACAAATAACCGCTCCAATGTCATAATCACTAGCATCTGATTTTGGGATTATTTCTAAATCATGATTGAAATGGTTTAATGATAATTCGGATGTTAACACGCTCTTTATGTCATCAAAACAGATTCATTGGACCAATTAAGCACTACACCTTTTTTAATAATTTATTTAAAGGCATACTCAATATATGCGTGATTATCACATAAAGATTCTAGTAGGTTGTGAGCAACGGAAATTATTGTCACCGAGTAGCGTTTGTCGGAGTTAATATATTTTAATAGGACTCATCCTTGACGGGGCTGGTCTATGTTCTTTTGTATCAATTATTTGTTCGAAGTAATTTATATGATTCCTGAGAAATTAGCATTTATCCTCAGTGAGTTTGATCCCGTATCCCACAATTCTCTTCTTGTGGACACAGAATATGTCCGAAAATAAAACTCGATCTCAGCAATTTAGCGAAAACAGATTATTAACAAAAAGAACGTATACAAAAATGTGCACGTCCGACTGACAGCAAAAGTACAGTAGTCAACTCGTCAACAATAT